ATCTAAGATCTCAGATTTTCTGCCAGCGTGTTTTCCCCTCCCACATCTTTCTGAAATAAAAAATGAAGACGGAGAAGGAAAGCGCTGTGTACTATCTCTGATCCTACTTTCTGATGCGGTGACAGGGCGGAGGCTGGGCATGTGAAAAGCACCCTGAAGGCTCTGATTGTGATTTAGTTCATTTATATGGCATCATTTCACCCAATCCCAGAGAGCTTTCATCTTGTTCGGGTTCTGGGAAGACTGGGTGCTGGTGGGAGTGTAGCTTTAAGTCAGGAGACCAGGATTGTCACACAGATGCCCCCACTAACTAGTTGTCTAATCCTTAACAAGTTGCTTTGTCTTTCCAGGCTCATTTTCCTCATCTGTCAAGTCAAATGAAGGTTATGGAATAGATGATCTCTAAAAAATCCTTCCAGCTCTACAGCTCTATTCTGGGTCTGTCTGCACCTGCAGACAGTGATGTGGGGGTAGGAAGGGCACTGGGGAGGGAGGTAAATTTAGTCATGAGAATAAACCACTTTTACCTGGAGCAGCCCTGTGTCCTCATGCGTTGTGTAGTGCAGGCTTGTCTCAGATTGTCCAAATAATTGATTGAGTTCTCTCCTTTCTTTGCCAGTGGACACACAGCTTTAGTTTCTGGGAGCAGCAGCTGCTTCTCTGAAATTTTCATCCCAGGGCTTCCGTCCTCCACTGTGTCCTCTCAGAAACCTGTCATGGTTTTTCTGGATGGATGCCCACAGAATTTTAATCCAGTCACACACACACACACACACACACACACACACACACACACAGAAAGTACTATGCATAACAAAAAGCAAAACCAGGTTATGGGTTGAATGTTTCTTTATTGAATTCAGTTACTTCAAGGGCTCAGAACAGAGAGAGGCATCGGTCAGCAGCACTGCTTGTGCTGCCAACCCCAAGCCATGAGCAGTTAGGGCCTATGAGTTCTCTTCATTAAAGGATTTGCATGTGGCGCTGTAGAGAAGAGGCCTATCTGCTTTAGCTCCCATCCTGGATCCAGCCCCAGGTCCTGATACCTCTAGATTCTTGGTCAATGGCAGCTTAATGAAACCAGGTGTCTTCATATAATATCCCAATTTCTTCCCTTCTCCAACAAACCTTTGCATTTCCAGCGGGGGCAGGGTGTGTGTGGGGGATGGGTCCCTACTCTCAAGAAACTTAGCAGAGTCTCCCAACTTTACTCAACTTTAAAAGGTACAGTTTAAAAAGGTACAGTTCTCCCACTGTAACTTGTGCAAAGGTCCCCTGGGAGGCAGGTAGACTCCTGGACCCTGCTCCCAGACATTCATTTAGTAGGTTTGGATCCAGGAAATTATTTTATTCACTCCAGGGCAGCTTGAGGTAGGAGGGTGATAGACTCCTAAGAAGTGCTCATGGCTAGAAATAAATAGCATTATTGCAAACAAGAAGTCCATGTTTCCATTTGAATTTCATGTTGTTTCAATAAAATCTACAAAAATTGATGCCTGATAATCAGGGTTCCGGGCATTAACATTAAGGTCATTCCTCTGTATTTTGGATACAGATTCTGAAAACTCAAAGCAGGAAAAAAAAAAGGCAAAGCCCTTGTAGAGTAGCTAAAGAAGAGTATAAATATCTCTGAGTTCGAATTCCGCACTTCCCAACTGTATGACTCTGGCAAGTTATCCAACTTCTCTGAATCTCTATTTTTATTTATTTATTTTCATCTATAAAACTGGAAGATTGCTAACCTTGCTGATAGAGGGGTGAAGAAAATTAGTTCATGCACCAGTAAGTGCTCAAATAAATAGTTCCTACTACAAAAGATGCCTCTACTATTACCCTGCAGGGAGTGGATGCAAGTGTCTCCAAGGCCCAACTTCAAATGGGTATTTGGGATTTGGCCAGAGTTTGGCGTGTCCTCTAGGGCCGGATATACGCCAGCCCCGGACCTCCCTGGGCTACCACTGCCCACCCAGCTAGGCTTTTCTGAGGGCTGCAGTTCGCTCCCTGGCTGGTTCTCCTCCTTCACCCAAAAGAAGAGGTGGTAGGTTGGGTAATTTTATTTTAAAAGATTCCTAACTCTGGGAAACGAACTAGGGGTGGTGGAAGGGGGGGGGGCGGTGACTGGGTGGCGGGCACTGAGGGGGGCACTTGACGGGATGAGCACTGGGTGTTATTCTGTATGTTGGCAAATTGAATACCAATAAAAAATAAATTTATTATTATTATTTAAAAAAAAAAAGACTCTTCTGGGCCTTGGACCAGCCCTGCAGGTAGCAGCGTGGATTCCTTGGATTCCGAGGGCCTCAGTAGCCTTTGTGGAAAGGAGGCGGCGGCCGAGCCGGTGCGATGTGGGACCCGGAGCCACCCTCCGGTGGCCACACTGGGGCCAAGGCCCGGGCCCGGGGCTCTCCGCGGCCAGCAGGTCGGGCCCAGCGGTCGGAGGGTCGGACCTCGCCCCACGCCCGGCCAGGTGGCAGGGAAGGGCCATGGGCCGGGGCTTGGGAGCCCATCGTCTACCCGCCCGAGGAGCGCCCAGGAATTGGCTCTGGCCCAGCTGGACAGGGAAATAAATGAGGGCCCCATTACCGCCCGGATCCCCCTGGAGAGGACCCAAAACCCGGGGACCTGCGCTGGCGGCGCAGTAACGGGCACCGCTCCACCCGCGTGGAGCCCTCGGGGCGCCAACCTGGGCGCTTGCGCGTGGCGGGAGGTAGCCGGCGAGTTTGCTGGACTTTGTCTCCATCCCACTGAGCATCTCCAGGCCCGGGCGGCCACGAGGAGTCCTCCCCCTGCCCACCCCACCGGCGCCACCGGACCCGGGGCCGAGGGCGGAATCCCAGGCGCGGAGCACCCGAAGGCCCAGCTGGCGACAGCCCGACAGCCCGACAGGACACCCGTCCGCCGGGACCCGGGAACCCCGCCTCCCTGCAGAGAGCAGCTCAGGACAATCACACACACACACACACACACACACACTCACACACTCACACACCCCATCAAATGAAGTAAAAGCCCAAGGTCTGCCTCCGCGGCCAGAGGCGGCCTCCGGAACCGGACGGAGCGTGGGTGCTCCGCGGGGCTGCAGGGGGTGGGGGTGAGGGTGGGGGCGGCGGGGGGAGGGGAGGGGAGGGTGCGGAGGACCCGGCTCGGCCGCCCCTCCCGCTCGCGGCCCTCCCGCCGGGTCCCGGGGTGCTGGCGGGGCGGCGGGGCGGCGGCGCGGGCGGAGCCCCTCGGAGCCCACCCCACACACTCGCACCCCCTCCTCCTGCCTCTCTCCCACCCGCTCGCCGGCACCCCCGCCCCCAGCCCCCTCCTCCCCGCCCGCCCGCCTCCGCCCCCATTCTGGGAATTGTGTGGAAAAATTCTCAGCCAAACCTCCCACCTCTCCTCTCCTCTCCCCCACCCCCGCCACCCTACTCCCTTTAAAAAACCCCCTTTCCTCCCCGGCCCCTGCACTCTTTGTGAATGAGGGCAGGGAACACGGCCCTTCCCCCGCCCAGGAGCCACGCCAGACCGCCGCACTCAGAGCACTGTTTGTTAATAGTCCAATTAGATAATTGCCATCTTTCACTCCTTTTGCTCCGCATTTCCCATAAAGGAATGAATGGGGAGAGCGGCGTGGAGAGGGCTTCTGCCCCGGCAAGGTGACGAGAAGGGCTGGAGCATGCTCCTTGCACAAGGCCATGCGCTTGAATTGAATCATTGTAGCCTAATCAATGCTCTTATTGGATTACTGGCTGTTGCTTTTCTCAAAGATATTGTAGCAGAGACAATGAAATAGCTAGGGGAAAACTTTTTTTTTTTTTTTTGAAGCAGATCTCACAGTTGAGATTTTTCTCGGCTCTCTCTCTCCCTCTCCCCCTCTCTCTCCTGCTGGACTCTGAGTACAAAGCTGCCCTTTGAATGGGCTGCCTCAGGGCTGCTGGAGGTGAAGGCAGGGGAAAAAAAAAAAAAAAAAACCCAACTGGAACTAAATGAAGAGAGGTGGCAGTTTAAGATGGCTGTCAGCGTCGAGGTGTGTTAAGGAGTTGTTTGGGACGAAAGCCTGGCGTTTAGAGTTCGGGGGAGATACTTTTTGGGAAAACTTTGACTCCACCATCACCATCGCCCCCCTTCTTCTTCTTCTTCTTCTTCTTTTTTTTTTCCCCCTAGAGGCAACTGCTTTCTTCTGCTGCAGGGTGTGTAAGCGTTTTTGTTGGTTTCTTTTACCCTCCCCCTCCCCCTCCCTGGGCTCTATCTGTCGAGTGCGGAGAGAACCCCTCTAGCCAGTATGTGAGCAGGAGGGTCAAAGGCAAAGGGAAAGTTAATAATGCCTGCTAATGGTACTAACAATTCAGGAGGAATCTTGTCAAAAGTTTTGCTGGAAGTGTGGGTCTTTGATTGTGTGTTTCCTGAAAGCAAGACCAATCATTTCCGTTTATTCACTGGCTAAACCCCTACTTGATTGGGGACAAGGACAGAAACCATCCATTACGATCTGATATATTATCCAAACAATTTAGTGTATTCATGAGGTAACCGAAACGTGGGGGCTGCGAAATTACCCGTAATCAATTGCAACAGCGAGTGTACGTCCCCGCGGGTGTCGGACAACTACAACTCGCCGTGTCAGTAACAGGCGGGAGCCGCAGCGTTTCGGAGTTGCTCTGCTTGCTACGCGATCGCCGGGCTGGGGACACTGGACGTGCTCAGAGGACGCGGACGCTGACGAGTTGGCCTCGCCGCGGCTGCACCGGGATCCTGGACCAGACCCGCCGCCTCCCCGAGAGCGCGCCACTCGCCGGTCGCCGCTGACCCGCCCGCGGTCGCCGCAGCCGCCCCGCGGGGACATTCATTCTTGCCGCTTGCCTCTCTCTGGGCAGGGCTCAGGAGCTCCATTGTAGGGTTCTGTCCCCGCAGTGCCTCTGTTTTGTTTCTTTTTGTTTGTTTCTTTTTTCTTTTCTTTTTTTTTCTTTTTGTTTTTTTTTCTTTTTTCCTCCTTTTTTTCCCCCCCTTTTTTTCCTATGTTCGGGAAACCAGACAAAATGGACGTTCGGTGCCACTCGGACGCAGAGGCTGCCCGGGTCTCGAAGAACGCGCACAAGGAGAGCCGGGAGAGCAAGGGTGCGGAGGGGAACCTCCCTGCCTCCTTCCTCAAGGAGCCGCAGGGCGCCTTCTCCGCGTCGGGGGCCGCGGAAGATTGTAACAAAAGTAAATCCAATTCGGCCGCCGACCCGGATTATTGCCGCCGGATCCTGGTCCGAGGTAGGGATGGGGTAGGGCTGCGGGGCGCGTGCTTTTGCAGGAGGACCCGGGGTGCCCGAGCGGCGCGCCGCCCCAGACCCAGGCCCGCGGGGAGGAGATGCTGGCTGGGACTTCGGGGAAAGTTGCTGGCCTCTCCCCACCCCGCCCCCCCCGGGTCTGGCCGGCCGCTGGGCACTGGCACCTGGGGCGCGCACCCTCCGGGACCCTCGACCCTCCACGCTCCGAGGGGCCCCGCCTGCAAGGTTGCAGGGGAGCCCAGGGGCTGCGCGCGCGGGCCCGGGCTGCAGGCTGCGGCCTCTGAGCAGGGGGAAGGAGCAGGACACCATGGAGGGCGAGTGCGCGCTGTGCGAGTCGGAGCACCTGCCGGGAGCCCGCCTCCTGGCCCCCGCGCCCCGGCCGGCCGAGTGCACGCCAGGGGAGCGCGGGCGCCGGAGCAGAGCCGCGGATCGCCCGCTACGGGCCGGCCCCGGGGCGCGCTGGGCCGAGGGCCCGGGCGCCGCGCTCAGGGCTGGCCGCCGCCGCCGCCGCCGCCGCCGCCGGCAGAGGAGGCTGGGTTGGGTGGCCGGGCCACGGATGTCGCCTTGGTGCTCGGCTCGACCCCGCCGTGCTGCGCGCTGGGCTTCGGCGGTGGCAGTCGCGAGGCCCGGCCCCGGCCGGCGCCGCCCCCGCCAGCAGATCGGCAGGCCCCGCGGCCCCGACTCTGTCCCTCCTCCTTCCGCCGCCCCCGCTCCGGAGAGGAGACCCTGGGGTGGGGCGCTGGGACCGCCCGAGCGGGGTCTGGTCAAGGTGCTCCGGAGCTGGGGCCCACGCGCCCCGGCCTGGTCAGTCTGGAGACCCTCAGGCCACAGGGGACCCGGACCGCGCGCCCGAGGCTCCCAGGCCGGAAGGAGCATCAGTCGATTTGGATTTTTTTTTCCCCTCCCGCGTCCAGAGGCTATATATTTGCTATAAAAGCAAAGTCTGGTCTCCCCCCCTTTCGTCAGCGGTGTGGAGTTAGCCCCCTCGCTCCCCAAACACACCGGGTCTCTGCTCCCCCGCCCCCCACCCCCCACCCCCGCGACTGCAGGCAGCTGGCGAGCGAGTCCTCCAGCCAGCTCCGGCCAGGGAGGCGAAGGGAGACGGGAGGGATCCCGCGACTGACATCTCCCCTTCCTCAGATGCCAAGGGTTCCATCCGAGAGATCATTCTGCCCAAGGGCCTGGACCTGGACCGGCCCAAGAGGACGCGCACGTCCTTCACCGCCGAGCAGCTCTACCGGCTGGAGATGGAGTTCCAGCGCTGCCAGTACGTGGTGGGCCGAGAGAGGACGGAGCTCGCCCGGCAGCTTAACCTCTCCGAGACCCAGGTACCAGGTGGCCAGGCCTGCACAGCTCTGCAGGAGCCTGCCTCCCCCCACCGCTCCAGCCAGCTCTTCCCAGTACTTAGCCTGGCTCTGGATAGACTCCCAGGGGAGGTGGAGGAGGCAGGGAGGATGGGGTGAAAGACCTCACAATTTCTTCCCTTCCATAAACCTTTCCCTCTATGCCCTCAGATCTTCCAGGGCCCATGCTCTGCCCACCATGGCCTAGCCCAGGAGGCCCAAAATTCTGTCCTTCGGAATACCTGTTGGATCACAGTCTTGAGAATTCCCTGCTCACCTCTGGGCTACAAGGAACCAATGTTTGCCCCTTGTCTCAGTCAGCCCATTTTGGCCAGATTTCCAGGCACCGCTCCTCTTGGGAACCCCAGCCTTAGACAACAAGCAGGCCTGTTCTGCAGGAATGGGGCTGGCGCCAAAGCCATCTGGGTGCTGAGGGTAGCAACTAGATTGGAAAGGTGTGCATTCCTGAGATTTGCCCTGGCAGGCCAGGCTACCCTGCCCCTTATGGCTTCCTCTGGCCCCGAGCTGGACCCAGAGCCATTCCCAGCCCTGAGCATCCACTGGGCACCTATGATGCCCTGTCTTCTGTGCCAGTGAAATGTGAAGTGTGGGATCAGAGGCTGATGTGGGGCCCTGGTTGCCAGCACTACCAACCTTGCTTGAGGTCTCTTCTTTTACATGAAATCCACACGATGTTACTGTAGTTAGCCATGTAGACTCTGGGTCGGGGGTTTTTCAGGGCCTTAGAGCTTTGCCTTGTGGAGGCCCTTGTGGGCCTAGGGAGGGCATGGCACCAGTTTGGCCTAGGTAAAGCAGACTTCTTTCTGAGGTCCAGTCTCCTTCCCTGGGCCCAGCCCTGAAGCAGGTAGGGAGCATGTTAGGTCTGGAATCTGGGCAGAATGCTGAGAACTGACGACAGATCATATTGGATATTCTTTTTGAATCTGAATTGGCATGATAGCTTTTTCCTATTCTCTCTACTACCACCTCTCTTAGTTTACAAAATCTAGGCCTTTCCTTGTAGCTGCTAAACTCTATCCTGGGCCACCAACTAGGCCTCAAGAGGGGCAGAGGGAGATGAGAAAGTGAGAGAGAGGTTGGTAGAGAGGATTTAGTTCATCCCAGCCTCTTGGTTTCCTCCCATGATTCCAAAGTCATGAGGGAGAGCAGGGAAGTGATAAATTAAGAGTATCACTCAGAACCTCCAATCCAGCTAGCAGAGAGAGGGGATGGAGAAAGCTTGGCCTGTAATCCATCCTGCACAAATCATTCCTTCTACAGCCACCTTCCCTACTTTTGCTGCTAGTTAATGGTCAAATGTGACCCTGATAAGCAAGAAACAGCTTCTTGAAGCCTTGGACAGGACTGATGTGGCAGAAGCTAAATTCGAGCTCCTTGGTTGGGCCAGGGGCCTGGGTCCAGAGAAGTAGAGCAATACTCCTCCCCACCCAACTCCGGCTTCCCACACTGCAGTCTTCCGGTCTTACCCCTCTCCTGGACATGTGAGCTCACAAGCTAGGATGATCCACGTCTGGCTGGTCCAGGTAGTGAGGCAGCCCAGCAAAATAAATCCCTCTTGGTCTTCCTTGGAGTTAGGGTCCTGGACATCTTTATTGCTCTACTTATCATCTCGCACAGCCTGGGCCTGCTTCCATGACCCGGAAGCGCAGCCTCCTGGAGCTGTGGTCCAACTCCAGGGGGCCCAGGCAGCTCCCCGGCTAGCACCTCTCCAGCTGCGGGCTGGGGTTGGGGTTGGGAGAGCCCCCCCCCCCAGAACCCGAGCCCTCGCGACCTGGGAGCCCGCTTGCGCTTGACGCCCGGTCTCTCCCTGCCCCTCTTTCCCGCCCTCCCTGCGCCCCTGCGCCCAGGTGAAGGTCTGGTTCCAGAACCGGCGCACGAAGCAGAAGAAGGACCAGGGCAAGGACTCGGAGCTGCGCTCGGTGGTGTCGGAGACGGCGGCCACGTGCAGCGTGCTGAGGCTGCTGGAGCAGGGCCGCCTGCTGTCGCCTCCCGGCCTGCCCGCGCTGCTGCCTCCTTGCGCCACCGGCGCGCTCGGCTCGGCGCTGCGCGGTCCCAGCCTGCCGGCCCTGGGCGCGGGCGCCGCCGCGGGCTCGGCCGCCGCCGCCGCCGCCGCCGCCGCCCCGGGTCCCACGGGCGCCGCGTCCCCGCACCCGCCGGCCGTGGGCGGCGCTCCGGGCCCCGGGCCCGCCGGGCCAGGGGGACTGCACGCGGGCGCGCCGGCCGCCGGCCACGGCCTCTTCAGCCTACCGGTGCCGTCGCTGCTCGGCTCGGTCGCCAGCCGCCTGTCCTCCGCCCCGTTGACAATGGCCGGTTCGCTGGCCGGGAATTTGCAAGAACTCTCCGCCCGGTACCTGAGCTCCTCGGCCTTCGAGCCTTACTCCCGGACCAACAATAAAGAAGGGGCCGAGAAAAAAGCGCTGGACTGATTTTAAGTGTTTGCCTGTATTTATATTTATAGTATCTATTGTGGTGATATTTATGGACTCGCGTCTGCGGCGCCGCGGGCTCCCGCGCTGGGCTTCCCGCCCCCACCAGGCCCCCGACAGCTCTCCTTCCCCGCTAGTCTCTGCCACCAACCTTCCTGCGGGCTACTTTTTTTCTACCTTTCCTCCGAGCTCCCCCACCCCCACCCCGCCCCCAACTTCCTTCCGAATCCAGGAGAATCCAAAGAATTGGGGGGAAATATCCGAATTAGCCACCTGACGCCCCAACCAATGCCTGGCGCTGGAGGGAAAAGACTGGGTCGAAGTCGAAGCACCGGGACACCTGCTCCAGATCGGCCGCTCCTGCTTTTGACCGTTCTTAGGAATATTGAAAGAGCAAAGCTGCACGCAGACCCCAGGGGCTGAAAAGGCTGGTAGGTGTCGTTAGACCAAAAAAAAAAAAAAAAAGGAAGACGTTCGTTCCTCTCGCCAGAGCAACCAGGGCTTCGGGGAGCCCCTGGGCCCCACTTTGCGGACCGCTTGGGAGAGCCGGTGCACACGCAGCTTTCTGGCTGGACAAATCCTGCCGAATTTTTCCCCCTTTAGAGAAGCAACAATCATCACCATCACCACCATCACCACCACCACCACCACCACCACCACCACCACCGACCCCAGGAGATAAACCAAACGTCACGGTAGGCCAGGACGGTGGTAATACATTTGATATCATCAGCAATAAAGCAAGAGTCCCAACTACTACCTAAAACCAGATGAAGCGAAACCGGTTTTCGAATACTCCCAACGACCGACTTTGGAAGGTTTAAGAGAATTCAGGATCGAGAATGCTGCGCAGGGCAAAGCAAAATTGAGGTTCTGGGTGTTATGACTTTGCATGGGAAATTCAAAAGGAAAAAGCAAAAGAAAAGCCAACGCTGCTGATGAAAGAAAATTCAGAGTCTTTCCTCGGAGGCCGCTCCGGGCGGTGGCCGAGAGCCCCACGCTCCTCCGGCGAGAGCAGGGCGGCTGCCGGCGCCTCTCCCCACCGTCCCCCCCCCCCCCCGCCCCCGGACCCGCGGGCCCCCGGGCGGCCTTGCTGCGTTTGGAAACGAATCGTGCCCTTTGCTTCCTCTTCCCCACTCCCGGATTCACCAAACTCTTCCAACTCGCTGGAAACGCCTGGATTTCTTCGAGGACCGGGTGGCAGGGCCGAAGCTGGGGACAGCAGGGCTGCCCAGCCTCCCCGAGCCGCAGTCTCCGCGCTCAGATCAGCTCCCCGCCTGGATAGGAGAGACATCGGTCCCACCCCTAGCCCCTCCGACACCCCCAGGGGCCCCACCGCCCCGACTCAGAAACCGGGACCGCGCACCACGCAGGCACAGCCTCATTCCTTCCCGGAGCAACAACCACTGTCCCCTGCAGCCACGGCCCCCCGCATTTTAACCAAAACCACAGACCTAGACGGCGAGGTTGCCGCAGTGTCTAGAATGTATTCCTTCCTCCGAAGCGAGCGCAGAGCATTTTTAAAATAGTAATTTTATTGTAAATTATTTACGTCGGAAGCTTTTTTTTTTTCCTCTCTCTTTTTTTTTTTCTTTTAGAAAATAGCGAAGAAAATAATGAACGATTCAAACGCGGGTAGGTGTCACTGAATCCTGGCTACTAACTCTGTTCTGAATGTTTTGGATATTTGGATGTTTTGTATTTATGTGGTGAGAGTGAAATATATATATCTGAGATGATAAACGAGGTGCATTTTTGTCTTGTGTTTGAAGGATTAAAAAAAAAAAAGAAAGAAAAAGGAAGAGGAAGAAAAGGAAGAAGGCCCCCAGGAAATGATGAGTCTGGGCGTGGGGACTCCTGGGGCAGAGGGTGGTCACCGAGGAGCGCGTGGGGCCCTGTAGCTGGTACGGTCAGCTCCTGGGTGGAGGTTTGGGGTGCCTCTGGTCCCCAGAGACCCAGCTACCTGCCTACACTGTTCCTTCCACTTCTCTGAGTACAGCTCCCTCTCTGGCTCTCTATCCCAGTGGTGATGGACCATCAAGCCTTCCCCTCTCGATCTCCCACTGTGTGTTTCTTGGCTTATTTAGGAACTTGTCTCCGGACACCCTAAAGTTCCTACCTCCTAACACTCCCAGTTACTAGAGTTTTCCAGCCACATCTCCACGCCAGCCCGGCAGTATTTGGGATTTGCCCCGGCAATCACAGGGGCCCGGGACAGGCACAATTTTTCCTTTCTCCTGATTTAGAGAAAGTCTCTCTCTGCCTCAAAGAGAAACTCAGAGGGAGCAGGAGGATGGAATAGATATTAATTCCTGCACGGATCTCTTTCCACCCCATACCGGTCTATATGAGGTGGTGATGGCTGTAGACATTGCAGGCAGAACTCGGGGGGGCTAGGAAGGCTGAGGGGGTGCCCCTAGACACTCTCCTAAAGTCTGCGGCCCGGAATCGCAGGCACAGCGGCCCCAGCTCCCTCTGCTTGGTGCCCACATCCCTGGGTGGTGGTGTGGGGTGGGGTGCAGTTTCCTGGGGGCATCCGAAGGGCCGGGCCCCTTGAACCTGGCGAGGGTACAGTGCCTGAGCCGCAAGTTTGTGGCACTGGAAATGAGGCAGCAGCACAGTGCAGGTGACCAAGTTCCCGAGCTGAGCGTGGATTGGATCTCTGAGCAGTTTAGGGCCTTCCCAATGAGCTGGGTGTCTTGCTGGGAGCAGCCACAGCCCCCAGACAGTCCACATTTGTTTCTCAAAGTCGGTACACACCCCTTAGCTTGCTACCTCGGGGCTCCTCCCCTCCCGGTCCTTCTCTGCTCATTCTCTTCCCTGGGAAGCTGCTTTCCCTCCCCCCCCGCCCCAGGATCTCTCTCCCCTGGTGCTCTGGGTCTCCTCTTTTCCATCACCTCTCCCCAGCCAGCCTCTGTCTCTCTGCTTCTCTCTCATCTCTCTTTCTCTCTCTCTCTCTCTCTGATTCCTCTGCCTACCCGGGTGGCCCCAAGGCCAAGGCGTGGGTGGCTCTGCAGCGGTTTCCTGGCTGGTGGCTTGGGGCCAGAGAATGGGGGAGAAGAGAGTGAGAAGGTGGCATAATTTTATGGAACAAAAGAAAACACAAAATCCTAGCTTCATGGTCCCCAACAAGCTTCGGACTGTCCCCCAGGAGCCTCAGCCTGGGGAGTCATGGAGCAGATCCCTTAGCAGCTTTCTCTCCTTTCTCTTCCTGCTTGTTTATCCCTAAAAGGGGAAAGAGCCACTTACCCCATTTCTCTGCTCTCACCTCCCTTCCCTGGCTTTGGGAAGAGCTGCTGAGCTCTTCTCCTGCCACTCGGGGAGTGCAATTGTTCTTAACGAGACTCTTCTGCATAGAACATGAATCACAATTTTAATTAAAAACCGTTTATAGACAATTCATTTAATTTCAGTGCCTGTCTTGTTTGCCCTCCTTCTCCAAGGGCCTCCAGCAAGCTGCCTGGGTCCCTGGAGCCCTCTGGTGAGGACTCTAGCCTCCATCTAGTGACTCACAGGCCAGGGGGGAGGCAGGTGGCCTCTGTGACAACAGCTGGCCCTGCCTGGAAGAAGGTGGAAGGGGTTCCTGTAGGTCAAGGAGAACAGCTGGAGGTGGGGGAGCTGAAAGGAATCTCATGCTCAGGCCTGCACAAAGCAGCGTCCAAGTTAGTTCAGAGCGAAAAAGGAAAAGAAAGAAAACCTTTCACCAAACTCCTGTGACTTTGGTGGTCAGGTGTGGGGAAGACACCGAAAGTGCCTTTTCACCTGGGGAGTCGAAAGGAGACACATCCTCATATCCATCCTTGCAGTTGGCCTAACCCAGAGCACAGTGTATTCACAATAAATAGCATTCAGCAGCCTTTTATCGTGTCCAAATAGCCTTTCACTATACCGTCTCTATTGCTCCTTATTTTCAGAGGTCTAGCCTCATTTTAAAGAGCCACATCAGGCTTGGAACAGTCAAATGACTTGCTGAAGACTACAGAGCTAATCAGAGCCACAAGCCTGAAAGTTCTCCATAGGGCCAGGGCCCTCTTTTTCCATTTCCCCTACCCCCTCCTTTTCTTTGCCTTTTCCCTTTCCTGGCTCTCTCTTTCCCTCCCTCCCTTCGTTCTTCTATTCCCTTCTTTCCTTCTTTCATTTCTTCTTTTTGTGCCTAAAGCAGCTGGCTCATGGTACCTGAATTCTTTAGCGTGTTTACAGCCGCATCTGCAGACTCCTATTTCCAGCCCTCTTTTTACTACGCCAGCTGCTAAGGATTTACTCGGTGCCTTCATTAAGAAGTTTGAATTATTCCCTTCTTCCTGTTTCTTTCTTGCCAGTATCCAGTACTTTCCCCCTGCTGCTGTCTAGAGTGACTTCTTTAAACCCATGTCTACCTTCCATCTCTACCTCATACTTCCGTAAAGCAATTTCTTTAAATGGAGATCTAATATTCATACAGTAAACATCTAAATGGTAAAGTAGATGAAGCTGAAGGGCACAGTTGATGAACGTTTACACACACACTCACGCGCGTGCATGTGCACACACACACACATTCTTGAATTGTTTCAGTGATAAGCTTTCAATTTGTCCTCTTAGGCCAAATGGTGATACGATGTCTTTCTCCTGTTTGAAGAGAAATGTCATATCAGTGTGCTGTTATCGCACAGAAAACCTTTCCAGGACAGCTTCCTAAGGCTTCTTGAAGGAATTAGAAATTATGTATTTCTCTCCATCCCCTGCAGTTCTGAGTCTAAGTGACTTAAGTCAAACATCTGATTAGAACTTAAAATGTGCTAAGTCAGTGTTTCTCAAGAAACAAGGGAAGACCACCTGCTTCTGAAGTATCTGGAGACTGGGTAAAATGCAGATTCCTAAACCTAGCTGCCCCCGCCCCATATGAATCAGAAACTCTGGGAGTGGGGCTCAGGAATGTACATTATTAATACGTTTCCCAAGTGATTCACATCCATGCTAACATTTGAGAACTGTTTGAAATGGCAAACTTTCAGAACACT